TATTGATTCTCAGAAAATTCCTCAAAAAAAGATGGACCAAAATCAGTAATGGAAAATACAAAAGAAACCACAGGTAACCAAAATGATCAAAATTAATATCTAACAGTATTGACATCAGTCAAAACAAATACTTTCTCCCTTTTTTTCATTACTTCAAAAGATGTTTTTTACAGGTCAAATGGAACTGAAAGCCTGGTGGGTGGGTTCTAGATGTAATGAGCTTCAGAAAAGCCCACACGCCCTTAATTTGTTTATAGAAACATAACAAACATTTCAAAGTTAAGCACTGCACATTTCTGATCTCCGAGCAGGTTACTGCTTCCTAAATACTCCTTCTGGGAATAAAAATAAATACTGTCTGTCATGGACCGGGAATACAAACAATCATCAGTCTATGTAGTGGAGTTTTTAGGGAATGTTCAGCCTAAGAGTGAAGATTCTTACAGCCATATCAATGCTATGAAAAATGAAACTAAGGCATCAAAAGATTGTGAACCAGTAGTCACGCACATCTCCTGTGAATTACTGACGGCTGCCGTGTTTTGCCCACGAAATAGACAGTCAGTCCACTTTACAGTATATTCTGTGAAGCACTTTGAGACGTCTCCATGATATTACAAGGCGCTATATCAAATGCAAGGAATATTATTAATGTAACTTGCCTAACTTTCCGGCTAATGCCTGACTCCAATTAGAGGCAGATGCTTTTTCTTTTCTGTTGATCAATGGAAAATATCATCTTAAAAAAAGGAGTTTATTTTCACAATAGATGAGTAAACGCACCACACGTTGGTTATTGAGTCTTACAGATGTATGAGACTATTTGCTCTTGTGTACTGCTGCGGCAAATTTCTGCTGCATTCGCCTACAAAACACACAATCACTCCACTTTATAGTATATCCTGTGAAGAAAGACGTCCTCCCAACATAAAAAGCGCCATACCAAATGTACGAATTATTACGTGACGTGGTGACACCATGATCAAACTTAGTTCCCCAATGAGGGAGAATGCTGCCCAGGGTCTCTAAACCTGATCACTATCTCATGACTTCTGTTGAAAAGTGCACAAGTGTACGTGTGATTGCCAGGTAAAGATAGTACTGAGTTCTGTAGCAAAATCTCCAGAATCGAGTATCCTACCGGTACTTACTATTTAGAGTGATACATGAAAAAAAGACCCCTTGAACAATACACTTGAGGGTAATTTTCACAGGAACTATACTGCAGCCGAAGTCGGTGCTTTTAGAATAGAAGTGGTAAGTTACACTTGGTGGAATGCCTGAAAATAATATAATTATGTGTGTAATTGCATCAAATTACGCTCCTGAAACAAGAAGCACATGCTGAAAAATACAGATTTTTGTATTTGACAACATCTAAAATATATAGCAGCCACGAGAATAAAGAATGTGTCTCAAGTTAGGTATATATTATACACAGATTTAATTAAAAGCAACGGACTGCTTAAGATAAATGTTTTGAGTTACATATCATTCTTTACAGCCTCTGATGTGACTTACACCCCATTTATCATTTATCATATGCTTCCAGTTTCTGATGTGCTCTGGTTCATGGAAGACAATAGAGACTGAACAGACTGACATGAGTGGCTTCTCGCTGTGCTGTGATTATTGACAGTTTGCCAAATCTGCTTCAGGTGGATTCAGGATAAAATCAGAATTGTCCTGGATCTACCTAGACTGGAAGGCAGTAAAAAAAGAGAAAGTTACTTAAATGGGCCACGTCTTCATGAAGTTGTTTAGCAGCTCTGTCTTGATTTGAGTAAGGAAAGCAGCAAATCTTCCAGCGACACCAAACACTGTGTGTGAAGAAATGGGAAATGGTCTGCCTAACACTTGCTAATGGAGAAAGCAGGCCTTTTATGTTTGGCTTGATTATTTTCACCACCCTCACATAGGAAATAATGGAAACAATAGGCACAACCAAGGAGTTCAGATGCAATCAGAATCCTATAGCAATTTTCTATCTAGGTAAGCACTCGATGTGTAAGAAGAGGCTGCAGTTTTGAAATTACTTCAATCATCTGAGGATCCAGTGGAGCAGATGCAAGGTTATTCCATTTCTAGCATTTCTTTGTGTCAGGGAGTGAATCCCCAGAACGTGCTATACAGTAAACTTCGGCTAACCAACCTAGCCTGACCAGGCCCAAAACTCAAACATTTTTTTAAAATTCGGCTTATTCGCTTTATTCTGCTTGAAAAATGCCACTAAATGCTGGTCCTCTCATTGTAATTACACTTAGCCAGAAATTCTGGTTCACCGGACCTGATCTCACCACCCCATCCCCCAATAGTCTGGCTAGCCAGACTCTTGATCTTTTGGCCAACATTGCTCCAGATAAACGGATGTTTGTGGGACCTTGAGGTGCACAAATTGATTGATGTGAAATACTCTGACTTAATTGACAACATTAGCTGTGAAATGCTTGACACCTTACATTAAAGCCAATATAATAATAAACTTTGCATTTGATATAGTGCCTAAAACATCGAAATGTCTCAAAACACTTCACAGGTAAGTGCTTTGAAGTGACTATTTGTAGGCAAACACAGCAGCCGATTTACACATAACAATGTTGCATGAACAGCCATGAAGTGAATTGGCCAATTTATCTGGAACACTGCTGTGTGCAATTGGCTGCCGCATTTCGCCCATAAACTATACAGTCAATTCACTTTACAGTATATTCTGTGAAGCACTTTGGGACGTCTGAAAGACATGATAAGGTGCTCTAACAAATGCAAGGATTATTATTACTATTATTATTATCTGGTGCATTGTGGCAGATGAGACTTCAGTTTATCGTCTGATCTGAAGGATAGCAGCTTCAGCAATACAGCGCTCCCACAGCACCCCCTGACTGAGTGTTAGCCCAGACTCACAACTGAGCCAAGCTGACATCTAATTTGATATATCAAATACTGTACAAGATGATAATATTGTGTAGAACGATGTTTATGGTGAGAGACTACAAATGCAGTCACTATACCTTGCAGTGAAACACTGTGAAACATTTTGAAATGTTTTGACCTGATGAGGTGCTCTATTAAATGCAAAGATTATTTATTTAAAATAGCTGCTTGCTTGTTTGAATATAATAAAATGGCTGTTTCCTACTAAATACACGCATTCATAACATTGAAGCTTGACTATGCAAACTCAGTGCTTGTCGGCCTTTCCAACTCCTCTCTATAGGCTGTAGATCATCCAGAAATTTGCAGCTCGTGTCCTCTCCCGCACCAGGCTCCATGATCCTTTCACCTCCATCCTTGTCTGACTCCACTGGCTTCCCATCACTCAGAGGACACAATTCAAGATCCTGGTCCTCACCTTCAAAGCCCTCCACGGTCTTGCTCCCCCTACCTCTGCGACCTACTAACCCCCTACCATCCTGCCCGCTCCCTGCTTCACGTCACCCACCTCATTCACCCCACCATAGGCAGGCAGGCCTTCTGCCACTCTGCCCTACCATCTGGAACTCTATCCCCCAGTCCCTCTGCCTCACCCCCTCTCTTGTCTTCTTCAAGACCCATCACAAGACGCTCCTCTTCAACCGTGCTTTCGATCAACCTACTTCCCCCCCTGCCCAACACCTTCCCAATCCCGAGCCCCAGCTCGCGTCCAAAACTCTGTCTGTCACGCGCCTTGGAAGGTCCTCCTGACGTGAAAGGCGCTATACAAATGCAATGTTCTTGTTGTTGTAAATATCTTTTGCCAAGTGGACAAGATCTAAGATTGTCGGATTTATGACTTTATGCAAGTAATAAACATGGATAAATTATCACGATTATCGACCTAGTGTTGTGTCATCAAGTTGTGAAAATTGTTGATAAAAGTCTATAAAAATTGAAAAAAAATATTGTCTGAAAAATGAAAACAATTAAAATCAATTTCATCAACCACAAGTATATATTTTGTTCATGGAGTCCAAGCAACTTTATGCAAGCTCACTAGTCATTTTTTACTGGTTCTGTTTAAATCCCCCCAAAATGTATAAATGAGCACTGAAGATATTGTTTAATCCCTCGTTATGGTGATAGGACTGGAGCAGATGAAGTGGGCAGATCACAGCTCATATGCCAAGAAATCATGTGAGTGTTTATATTGTACTGCTTCCGAAGTGGTTCTGACATGAAATGTATGCTTGAGTAGGGCTTGTATTGTGACTAATTCAAAGCAAAAATTGATCACATTGACATTAGTACACAGAAATCTGAATTAGGCAGATTTAACTCTGCTTCAATGACGGCCAATGTAAATAGAACATAACAGTACATTGAAAGCTAATAATTCTGAGTGAGGTAAGATCTGTTCATTTGACACCCCAGCATTCAAACTTACTGGCATTATTTCAATTAATAATTTGTGCAGAAGCTTAGCCAATTTATATCTATCAGCCAAAAGGGAAAGGGGAAATGATTACAGGAAACCATACAAATTATGGAACCAGACTGGATTGCATTTGATCTTAGTAAAAGTATATTTTGAATATTTCCTTTGTGAAAACATGCTGCATTTCTGCAGTGATTATGTGGAAGAGTTTGAATGTCATAACTTGTCTGAGACCTCTTTATTCAAAGGCTTCTATTTTGATATTAAACAGAAGTTAACAATAGTTTTCATTTATCACAAGAAATCAAAACCACAATCACCGTCAAAGGTCACTGTACTTTGTGCATACTCAACAGACAATTGTGAGGTATTTGGCTTTAATTCATTTTGTAAGTGCTTGACAATGAAACATCTGGAATACATCAAATGGTCTAAAGATCTTTTAAGGTATCTAATTTTCATAGTGTACATTATTATAATGAAATGAAATTGTCTCAATATAATAATAAAACCAAGATTTTAAATACAGTGGATGTGGTTCTAAGTATATAAGTAACTGTTTTTAACTAATGACTAATAATGTTGCCTAGGCATTACTCACTTGGACCTGTTAACCGAAGCTTCGTTATAGAGTTCATACAAACTATTCCAGGTTACTGTTTTTATTTTTTTAGCAGTTACACAAAGCCAGTCAAGCTAATTCATCAGCCAATTTCTTGATGTAAAAATTGTTGACCCGATCTTCCTTAGTTCCTTTATGCCAAAGTCTTTCTTCGTATCAAGTGATCAAAAATGACAGCTTGGGCATAAAGATCGGTCTTAACCACAGTCCGTTTGACTGTATCAGAAGGAAGGTTCTGAAAATGAAAAAGGAACATAAATTGATAGCTGAAGACATGGCATGGTGATATATTGAAGTATGTTATTTTATTTTAAAGATTGTTATTTTTTTCTTTGGCTTATGAGGAATGTATACTGCTGTGTTGAAGATGCAGTGAGTTGGAACACAATTGTTTTACCCTCTAGGACCCGGGTTCGATTTCGGTCTACATTGAAAGGATAAAGGTGTTCTGTTTTTGTGGGCTGTATGGATCTTATGTAAAGTGAATTTGGATTGGTTTAAATATGTTAACAGTAGATACAAGGGTATACATCTAAATTATCAGGGTGTAATTGTTACTATCCATTTTCCAACAGGGGTTTTTCTCAACTGTGACCAATAAGAGCTGTGTTTTACAGTAGTAAGGACTTATAGTGCCTGTGGCAAAGTTGCATCAATATGGGGAGATCAGTGGTAGGGTGTGGCAGAATTGGTGCAATCTTTCATTTTTAGTGTTTTCAATTCAGCAGGTTTGCTCCATTCTGTTAGGCCTGTAAACTTTCACCACTATCATAGCTGTTAAAATGTCAGAATTTTTTGCTGGCACAAAATTAAAAAGACATCACCAGCAGCAGGAGAAAAACATTTCATTGATGATTAATTTCCTCTGATGGTACATCCTTTTAGACAACTGGGGTCTAAAACATGGCAATATTGAACTTCTCTCCAGAACTACATTGCATTGTAGTGGAGATCCTGTGAGTTGGTGTGACTTCTCTCCAGTTAGTTTCTTTATTAAGTATTCTTGGTAGACATCACTGCATTTCAGACCGTATTCAATGCAAACAGCTGCTTGACACAACTCAGCACCAAAGCCAGTATTACTCAGAGGCAGTCACTAGTACTGATTGAAGGGATGGGGAAACAGACTGAAAGGGATGTTGAGGCTGGGGTTGCTCTTTTGATATTGGAATTAAAATACATTGTTGGGGTAAAAAGGAAGAAGCTTTACTATGTATCTGACTAACAAGTAATTAACGTTGATATTGAAACTTACCATCACTCCAGTTATCTCCAAAAATAAAAGAAACAATGTTAAATGCAAAACGAGAAATACACACTCGGATCTGATATTTGTTTGAAGGCTATATCCCCCGCAAATGAGACTTGACTCTACAGCCATTTATGAAATAACATAAACTTGTGAAAAAAAATCAGTCTTATATTCCAGTGTTGCTCCTCATCAAAAAACCCAGGGAATAGAAGAAGACTGCAAGATAGGGAACAGGTGACTATTTCTGACAGGCACTTTGCGGTAAGTCAGTGATACCTGAGCCTTAATGGTAAATATTGCAGGCTATTGGACTTTGGAAGACATCTCAGTGAAGCTTGATCCTGTCCTCTCCTGAGGCGCCAAACTCCATGATATTTTGGCTGCTCATATAAAGTAATTACAGTGAAGGAATTAAAAGAGTTATAGTACATAGACAGAGCAGGTCTTTTTTTTACTTCTCTTGTAATGTGGGCGACACTGACAGGACCAGCATTTATTTTTGGTTAATGTTATCCATGGGGAATAATGGACATGAAATCAATGCTATGTGAAATATAAATATAGCTAATTGAGAAATTAATACAGCTCTGTAACTATGTTCACGCTTACACTGCAGCCAAGGAGTGATTTACTGACTTGTCGATCAAGGATAAGTGACATTAGTGCTTAATCTTTTTGCCACGGACTCATTTTCAAACCTCTGTGGAAGACGTCGGGGGNTGTGGAAGGATTTATGTTGCACACTTTGTAATTCCACAGGTTACAAAAGCCTTATACAGGAAGAGTCCAAAGTATAGTCTGTTCACTCTTGGCCCATATGTACAAGTAGCACAGCAGAGGAGCTTTTATGGACATGGACTACATGCAGTGGTAACCAATGTTTCTAACAGAAATATCCTAATCTACATTAACAGGAAAGGGTTTCACAGTGTTAATGTGTAGGTAATAGGGGACAGTCAAGGCAGAATCTTACATCTCAACTGCCGTTATCCTGGCTTATTGCATGATGTGTTCATTTTATGGACTTCAAGCATCCTAGCTTGGATCCAAATAAGTTGAAGGTTTGGCTCATCGGGGACAATGACTATGATCTTACTCCCTGGCTAAGGAAGTCATTAATGAACCCTCAAACATCAGAAATCAGATACTATACTACCTTTACGAGAGCCAAAAATTTAAACGAAAGCTCTCCGCGCTCGGATTACTCAGGGGTACCATGACAGTAAGTACCCACAAAAACTGCAAGGAGTGAAGGAAGGGATATTTCCATTGGAGGGTATCTAGTGGATAGACACTGACAATAGCTCGGAGGAAAATGGGGATGAAGATGGTTAGGAAGAACATGGCACTGGTAGAGCTGTTCATCAATGTTTGTTACAAAATGTTTTTGTTGGTTAAAAGTACTATGATCTGCAACTGCAACTAAGAAGAGGTGGGACCCACTTGGGGTTTTGTTATTCATGTACCTGTCCTGCAAGAGATAAACAATTAAATGTCAAACATTAATATAATGCAATTTAAACCAAACCTTTACTTATTTATGTATTTACAATCTTTACATTGTGTATTTACAATCTTTACATTGTGTGTTTACAATATTTACATTGTGTATTTACAATATTTACATCATGTATTTACAAGACTTACAACATGTATTTACAATATTTGCAGACTGAACATATTTACAGCTCAAGCAATGTGCCTGTCCATCAGTGTGCTTTGCTGCATGTTGTCTCTTCCTAATACCCGCACACGGGCTTTGTCTATGTATCTACACACAACCTTTGCTAGGTTGTGTGGAGGTTATGGCCTGTAGACGGGGTGGTTGCCTCTTGAAGACAGGAAGGGGTTCATGCTAGCTGCTGTCCATGTAGCCTGAGAATGACCTCAAGACGCTTTTTTTTAAGGACAGAACATGGTGAAAGAATTCTGCTTCTTGTTCGCCTAAAAGTGTTGCGCTGTTGAAGGTGGACTTATCCTCAATGATGGGGTGCATCACTGGAGGGATAGATACGTGTTCAGAGTGCCCAGCCTATATCAAAATACTGTACTGATTTGAGCTGGTCCTGTAGGGGGAGATACACGAATGCAGCCCTACTGAATGCTCTCATTGGGATACCAATGCGGTAACAAAGGGGGCTGTCACCTCATCTAAAGAGTTGGTCAGCGTTTGCTGCAAACATGTTTGTATTGGATGTAGAGCCTGCTCCACCGAATCCTCATCAGACAGTTGCTCACCAACTACAACTGACACCTCTGCCATTTCCACCCTCTATCATAACACACTTTGATTCATTTGATTAGCAGTCTGTCATGGGATTTAAACCTCTCTTGATGTGCACCCCAGCATTATGAATGCCTGACCATCCAAGATGGTAATCTGAGGCAACAGACACGTCCACTAAGTTTCTCCATTGCTCTGTTGTTGAGACCCTCAAGGTCTCTTTTGAGTTGGAGCACACAGGTCCAGAGTCTCCATTGTACCATGTTTGGCTACAGAGCCTGTTCCTCCTTATAGGACATGTGATCCAGCTGCTTCAGATCAGCTGCAAGGTGGTACCTCTGCTCTCTCTATCCCCACTGTTACTGTGCTCTCCACCACTGGTGTTGTGTAACTTACCATTGTTGTGTAACTTGCCATACCATAACTTAAGTGTTCCAGGACGCTACTCTGCATGAATGGTACTATATAAATGCAAGTTGTTGTTGTTGGTGTACCATATACCCAGCCATACCTCGGGATTCACTGATGTGCTTGGCTTTGCGGTGGACTGTGACATAATGTTCATTATGGGCGAGGTGGAATTAGCATAATAAGACATGTCATCCATGGATGAGTCAAAGCTTTTGATTTCATCTTCATCTTCCTCCTCTGTGGTTTCCTCAGCTTGGGTTGTTGGCAGCTCTGCTTCAGTCATTGGTTCTTTAAATGCAGTAGCACAGTAATTATTGTCCATAGCTTCCTCAAAGTTCATTCAAAAAGTCATATACTATTTGCATCAAATAACTGCAAAGTGGATAGCTCTATGGATACTGCAACTTGGAGGAAGCATAGGATGTCACCTACCTTGGGTGACATGTCCCTCACCTATCAGTGGCATCACAACCTCTGATAATTCATTGTCAATGAGATGTGCAATTATTTCTTCTGCTGGCTTTAGTTTTGCCAGCACTGAATATCCACCCGGCTTCTTTATTTTTTGTTTTCTTGACAATGTCTTTTCCTGTTTAGGGAATGTAAACCAGGGGTAGAATAACTTTGAGAACAAAATAAGGCATACATACAGTAAAGAGTTAAATTTACAAGTGGACAATAATTCATGCTGTATTTAGAGTGAGCTAACATTAATAGATTCAAACTATGTGTGGTATAATACAATAAATGTCTGTGAGGAGTGTGAATTTTGCCATTCTTTGGAAGATTGAGCCTGGAAAATAACTTTTAAACCAAAGAATAATTTTTAAACCAAAAATAATATTTACCACACTTTCTAAGAGCCCAAATTACAAATATTTAAAAAAAATTATCTCACCTCAAAAGGAAAACACTGATAATAATCCTTGCATTTGATATAGCGCTTTTCACGCCAGGAGGACGTCCCAAAGCGCTTCACAGAACACACTGTAAGTGAATTGACTGTATATTTGTGGGCGAACACGGCAGTCAATTGCGCACAGCAAATGGTTGATCTTTGAAAGTCAGAGCAAAGGGAGGGTAAATGGGGAAATATTATCATTTAGTGCTGCCTAATTATTACACCATGTTTAGTTTGAATCAAGTGGTGTTAGTACACACTAAACATAGCAAATTGTGATGATAACTAACACCAGTGTTAATTATGCCAACTTTAAATTGTGAAACATCCACAAACATTACTCCTACATTGCAAACACTTAAATCATTCAGCAATATCATGCACAAGGCACCCTTACCTTGCTTTCCAAATCTCTTCTTGAACTACGAGGCAGTTCGAAAGGTGTTTTTGCTCATGTTGACTCTGTCCAGCTGTTATATCCTTCCATCCTAGTCTTTGCTGCAGTCATACAGCCATGAACACCAAACAAACTTTCTTGATGACTGGCCACAGTATCTTCAAATGCCATCTGAGTATTTGCACTGTGACGTCTTTCTGTGGCATCCCCACACTCTGATTTCCATTCTATTTCCTTTGGATATACTTATGATACCATTAAGTTTGATAAAGACTTAGTTGAATTGATCTACATTGTTGTGCTTGTTGCCATGATGATTAATGGTTGTTCTCATCGTGGCCTTCCATTGGTTGCATCAAACTTTTGGAGATGCACAGCATCATACCACACATACTTACTTAGTGGAATTATACTATTTATGCTAAGTTGTGTAAGGAATGCTTTGATTTCCACATAAGGACACACTATACATGAATCATATAGATTCACATAATTTGGACTGAAAAGTACCTGAGGTTATTCTATGGACTTTGTAAATTGAATGTGAACCACACTAAGTGGCTTAATTACTCTTAGCAAGAAATAGTGGGTTGCCAATTCTCCAGGTTTGTGTTGTGATTTTCATGGCGAAGGGGAATATTTTGAGCAATGTACAATTTTGTTAGTTTGTGCAGCTAGTGTTTAGTTCATCGAACGTGAGGTACGGACAAGACCCAATGGAACCAGTTGCAGTGGCCTTAAGATATGATTCCCCTGTCTATTTAGAAGGCACTGTTAATCATTTTAATAAGCAGATGGAATAGAAGGCATTTTAGGCAGTAAAATGGTAAATCTACAGATGACATGGGATTGAGGAAATGTGAAAAGTCTTTATAAACTCGTTAGCAAAAAAAATGTAAATGTTACAGTTACACTGCTCACTTAGCAAAACACTTTATGTAAATTGGGCAGATCACAATGTGCCAAATCACAATATGCTGCATTAAACTTGGGGTCCTTAGAACTTGTCCTTTGCCTATGTCACGTAACACATCATACTAGTCTTGAAAAACTAGAAACTAGTATTAAGGAGAAGACCTACTAATTCTGTTAAAGTTTTGACAATTTTTGTCCCAGCATACACTACCTAACCTTCAACGATGAAACGTGTCCCATCTGTATTATAAGCCCATAGAGGGTTCACACAGAGAAATCATGCCCAAAGCCTTGATCGTGATTGAGAACCGATGCTGCTTTTTCACTTTCCAAACACAGGAGCATTGAGGCCAATTGTAGTGGCCAACTGCTGTTCTCGTTGAGATCAGCAAGTTAACTCACCACAGGCTGGAGTTCGAACTTTTAACTTACTGTTCTGTGTGGCCCAGCACTGTTTTGCTAATTTTCACCATCTCACTCCATAGAGGAAGGGGGAAGATTGAAATCCATTAATGTTGCTATGCGTCTACATTGGCATGGATTGTCAAAGTTAAAACATTTAACTAGATCTTTGTGAAATTATGAAAATGTAATATTTAAGAGCAAAGTTTCTAAATTCAATCCGCGTTTCTGAGTTTTTACCAATATTATTTGTACTTAAAGATATGGGAGAAATTGTAGAGGAAGAGATAAAAAGTCATTTACCTTTGGATCGACACTTAACATGTTTCTGTCTCTCTTGGACTTGAAAACGAGTCCAGAGACATTCTTTGCAGTGACCTCATAATGTAGGCTGGCGTTGGTTGCACTCAAGTGTGAATCCCAGTTATAGAAGCTGTAGAAAGTGAACGTAGAAGAATAGATTGTACAATTGAAATGATTATCAAAGTGTGTTTTCTTTTGCCGTGCAAAATTTGGAGATAGGATAAACGTCTTTCCCCCACAAAATACAGTTAATTCACTTTACAGTATATTCTTTGAAGCACTTTGAGACGTCTCAATGACGTGGTAAGACGCTATATAAAATGTAATTATTATTATTATTACTTTGCTTAAGTTCCTTGCTCATGTGCTGTGACTTGAAGTTTTCGTGCTGAAGCTATTCTTTATTTAGAGGGTAATTTATGACTCTCCCCTTTTTCAAGTTCTGCCTGAAAACCTTCCTCTTCGACTGTGCTTACAGCTACTAACACCCACCCACCGCAGCTCAGATTAATTCACGGTTGAATTCTGATGGGTATTATTAATTTGCCAAGAAATTATATGCTTGAATCAGGACTTTTATTAACTCCAGATAAAACAACTGGTTTACAAACCCTTTTACCACAACCTTATTTCACCCTACATTCAATGAAAAATGAAAGCGCTTAACAAAAGTTTTTGTCACATCAATAATCAGATGAGTACTGCTGCTTCTTGTTTGCAGGTAGCAGCACATTGACTGAAGGAAGTGTGTTGTGCATTAAAGGCTGGATAATTACAGTACAGTTTATGCTTGGGTCAGGCTATATTGGAGTGTTATGCTTGGATCAAAAAGTCTGTACAATAGCACTGAGTAGGAAGTGGTTTAGTGTATTGGAATTCCACACTTGGGTCAGGTATGTATGCATTTATCCAGAGAACATTTCTTCTGTAATAGTACTCACTGAAACAATAGTGCAAGATGCTGACATTCCTACATTTTTCATTGGTGCTATAATTTTACCAATGATTCACAGAGCATTGAATTCTTTAACCCTTGTGTATGGACAGTGTAGAATTCAAACCATTCATGAAGAGCCTAGCTCAAAGCTCTGATTGTAGAAAATTACACTATTGTCATCTGATTTCGAAACAGGTCCATCTGTAGTTTAAAGTAATTAAAATTGTCAGCACAAATTCCTGGTAACCATTTGCAGATGTTTGGGTATCAACCTGCAAAACCGGAACACTAGGTAAATTGTGAAAAAAAAGTTTGCATTGTATGGGTTAAAGTTACATGGGGGCCATTTATTGGTTTTATTTGGCCTATGAACCCCAGCAATAAAATAACCTGTAGGCATGTCTTTTAAAAGAAAACACCTGCCCATTGAATGCTTACCTAAACGAAAAATGAGCAGTACGTGCAAATGTGGGACACAGCACTTTATTAAACCATGAAAACTTGGATCAAAGCAGACCATCTTCAGCATTCTCTGCTGAAAAACAGCCCATGGCTTTGATGTGTTACATGTGCAGAAAATTGTGAAACATCTTGGGCCGCAATAGCAACATAGCAACATGTGTTTGCCACTGGCAGTTGTTCGCATGAAAGATCTACTTATGGGCAAATTTTGAAACCATTAACGCTGCGTTTTGACAGAACTGGAATGTGGTCTGAAGAGGTTTGGGGGTTTAGACTGTCAAGTTCTTGAAATGATATTGCACATGTTGTCTCCAGGTTTTAGCTGCTTTTAAAATAGTGGTGAGATTTACTTCACACAGGAGTTTTGGTGTTACTTTTATTTTTCTCCAACTACTAACTCCTCTGAGTATTTCTAGAGTTTAAATATCACTTTGAACATTCTGTTTATTTGTGTCAACTATATATATGTACGTCACTGCAAAGAGCTGTAGTCACCTGAAACCATGTTTTCATGTTCTTGATGTGCAGCAATTTGTTTTGACATGTATCCTACCACATGAACAATATTTGAAAGATCTGAAAGTACATTCAAACACTGACCTTAAGAGGTTAACCATTTTACACTGATGAATTTCAGGAATTTCCATTATTTTCAATGGAAACAAGCCAGCCGTTTTTGGCCCAATTAGTTGGATAAGGGTTGATAACTGTTACATCAAGAAATATTTTAGACCTGTACATAAGATACATTTAAAAAAACAATACTGAAGCTTTATTTTAACAAGTTCGCTTGACTCCAGATAAATGGCTAATCTCAATCCAAGCATAATTCCCATCCAACTACAGAATTCCAATCCGCCAAATCACTTCCCATTTACTTCCATTCTAGGAAACTCCTGATCTAAGCATAATAGTTATTCATGTCAGCATATACTGAATCTTGTTATCTTGTTAACTCATTACCGCTTTACCCAGAAGTCAGCTTTGGAAGACGAAACTTACACTCAGTAACACCTTCTTGAAAATCTGTTATTCTTTGTTAATACCTTAAAGGGACATGACCTTTAGCTGCATTGAGAGAAACACATGCAATGGTGTGTAAGCTCCCATCAAACTCATCACTGCTTCATTTGTAGCTGCTCCTGTTGTGAGAAAAAATGTCTGGTGGATGGTCTCTTCTACCTTCATGACTAACAGGCACTTGTGCTTGAAAAATGGGCCCCTTTGAGGACCAGTGGTACAAGCAGATTTTGGGCAAGCTGAAAATCCTGACAGTAAACATCTGCAATCACAATATTGCTGGATTACACAGTCACCACAACCGTTTTAAAGAGATTTCAAACCATGTTAGCTTCAAGGAATGCTTGCATTTGAAGGTTAAGCTCTTCAAAGATTTTAACCTTACCACTGGCCAAAAAGAATCATAAGGTCTTTCACTTTGCTACAATTGAGCATCTGGAACAGGCTCCCCAGGGAGACGGTTGAAGCAAGAAATGTTGATTCTTTCAAACGCATATTACATAGTTTTCTCTAAGGAAATAATGTTGTAGGATATAGTACATAGGTAGTTTGGAACATATGTGCATGCGACTATCCGAAAGATGGAAGGCAAACTAGATGGCCCTTGGTCTCATTTTTCGTCTAGCATTTCTTAAGTTCTTATGTGGATATTCCCACTATTTCATTCCAGTAAGGATTCACCTCTTCCGCATTTGTAGGTTCACATGATCAGGGTTTGCAAACTTAACAAGAAACAGAGGATGGATACTCACTGCACTAAATTTACTGCCTTATGGAGAATAAACCCTTCCTAGAGTTAATGTAGGTAAAACATTAAAAGACATAATCAACCTTTCATCTGTGTTTGCAGATTATACATTTGCTGTACTGAATGCTGGTTTTATCTGCTAATTACACGTGTTTAGAGAACCTGTTATGAAATGTTGTATTTTCCATCTCATTTTTTTTAAAATTGCCCAAATTCTAATTGCGTTCCAATAATGAATATGCATTGGCCCTGCCTGGTTGTAGACCTACTACATGTTGTTGCATTTACCAAGTGAGAGAGAGCACTCTGTGACAAGCACTCCCCAGAGGAAACACGGTTGTACATGTACAGTATCAGTTTACAAAACCCTGCTTTAAACACCTTCAAAGTACAAATAGCCTCAACCCCAAATTGTTTTTAAGTTCTGTTTACATTGCTAATCGCAAATCAGATCAAAGTAGATCTCAAATGTGCCATAAACTAACTTCCAATATAACACATTGGTCTCCACTTCCAGCACACCCTCATCTGAGGGTAAGAAGATAATTTTTACATTGAGACTAATTGGAGGCTTAGAACAGTATCAGTTTTTACTGGGTATTCGTTGCTGTGTCAGTCCTACACTGTATATAATTAAACAAACCAAAAAAATCTTTGGATCCTTTACAGTGGTAGTTGACATTCACATGCATAAGTCTTCAGCAGATCAATATGGAGAGAACCAGCAATAGAAACAAGGCAGCTCGACAATGTATCCTTAAAGTCTCTGATTATGGCACTGGACTCCGCATAAATACTTGAAAACTCCCTGCCAATCATGGCAGATCTTCGTCATACTGCATCACAAAAGGCCAATGGCTTTGATGTGTGCTTTCAATTATGAGCATTTGTGGTTAAAGGGAACTCCTTTTTATCACCTTCAATTTAATATATGTAACAAGCGTCCATCCAACACATCCTCAAACTACAAGCAAAGATAAAGCCGCATAATTGGATTTGTGTTGACACATCCCGGGTAGATTCTTGCAAAAAATGTGCCCCGGGTTAAAATTCCAAACAGTGAATCCAACAAACCACTTGGGTTAAGATGTTTAATGCCTACATTTGCACTTTGTGTTGGCTATTCCCCTTTTTTATATAAAAAAAACTATCAGAGTTCCCCCCAAGGCTCAGTTGGTAAGCCATTGGCTAAACAGAAGTGATTAGGTTGAATTCTAGATTTGTACTAAATTATCTGATTTCAGCCAAGGCAGCAATGTTCTAGAGTTGACCTTAGTCTGAAGAGGGAATAAATCAAACAGTGTTCCCATTCCCTATTGCTATCTGAAAATTGCTTAAATTTGGATGCTGAGCGAGAACAGGATTAGACCTGCATGGTAGAATAGCTATCATACACATGAAGAATGATTACTGGTGAGATACATTTTACTTTATTGTGCAAACAATGTTTCAGACTATACTGAAATGTAAGGGGAACTGCATGCACAGTTTTAACAGCTGATGTGTGACGGACTGTCTCAGGATACAAAAGCAAATCCAGACTTAAAATAGACCAACCTAATGAAATTACCAAGTATGCATCCTTAGCTGGACAAAGTCGCTGTTAGATAGTCAAAGACTTCTGTACCTGGGTTTCTATACCTGGGTGCCATATGCAGGAAGCCAACCAGTCAGGATACAAAGCTGGACTAACCAGTGACTATCCTCCTTGGTGATGAGGTAAGCAGAAGTCCTAATAGGTAGTCAAAGACTCCTTCTTCCATTGCAACATTAATTTCAATTTACAGACATAATAAGATTGTAAAATTGCTAAGTGTAACACTAAACATTGCAAATGACTTCACTGGTAAATATAGATTTACCAGAGTACTGCTCTGAAGGGCAGGATAGGATGCTTCCATAATTCTCAACAGGAGTTTCCGATTTCAACTGTGCCACTGGGAAGGGCTGGCAATCTCCCCAC